CCACCTCCCCCCAGTGGGGGACTCTGGGCGACTCACACAAAACATTAAAACCATAAATATATATAAATACATAAAACATCAAAAAGTAAAAAACGTTACTAAAAATGGGAAAAGGAGAGTCCAAGAAGATGAAGAATCCGGGGCTGAAGACAGCAGGCTTCTATGGGGCTAGCCATCCCCATATATAAGACCTTATTTATTGATAAGTTCATGTTTATATACTATTGAATGGACCAACTCACTGTGATGTACAGTACCAATAAAGCCAAAAGTACAATCTTCTCTTCTCCAGGATAAATATACCCAACACCTCCAACCATTCCTCTCAAGTTTCCGTTCCAGGCTAACAGCAGGGTTGATCTGCTGTGCCTGCACGGCCAGGTGCTCAAGAACCTGTTTGATATCCAGGTCCCTGGGGAGCTGCACAGAACTCTTCCTACTCCACAGCTATCAGGTGGTCTCAGGTAGTATTTCCAAACCCCCAACAGATATTAATCTTCAGGATTCAGGAATGAGAAATTGGAATTCTTGGGAATTTCCAGAATCACAAGTTATTCTCTATTTTTCACAACGTACGACCTGAAGGAGCTGCACACTCTCGAAGGATCCAGTCGGGGCCAATGTGTGCCGTCAAGGGTTCACTCATCTCCAAGACCATCTGGAGGCCCTCTGCACCTCCTGCAAGGCCTTAGTCCCCAGGAGGAGGAAGAGGAAGAAGAAAGTCAAGAGGGGGGAAGCCAAAGATCTATTGAATCGGTCCTGGTCACTCCCTGTGTACAGCAGATCTGACAGGTGCCTTGAATGCTGGCAGTGCCAAGTGCTCCTCAGAGCTCTGTTCACTAGGAGTTACAAGAAAGCTATGCCATCTTCCAAAAGCTACAACTGGAATGGTAGAGGGTAACTCCTGGTCTGCGTGGGTAATATTTTTCCATTTCCCTAATTTTTCTAAGGATTTGGGATTCGGAAAAGCATGTAAATTTCCCAAGTAATGCTGGGAAGGAATTCTGAATGAAACCCTGGCCTCAAGAGTCAGGTGGCAATTAAGCCATGTTTTTTACCAAGACTGCTGTGGTTGGCAAAGAGAAAAATTCATCTCTGTTCTCCCCGACAATCTCTGCAAGCAACACGGATAGTTCACAACTGCTAGGAGAGTAGAGAAATAGCAATCTTGCCCATGTGGGGAGTAATCTCTTTCCTCCTCCCAATGATCAAGGTCTCTGGGGAGTGGAGCTCATAAAATGATGTTGGTTTCTTCCACCTCTCCCTGAATATCCCTAGGAGAAAGAGAGGGAAAGGTATCCTGGTCCCATCAGCCTACTCACCATATGTCCTCCGAAGTGTTCCACATTTGCAATGGAGGTGATCTCCTCTGTTTTCTAGGTAGGCTTCAGATGCATGAGGAGGAGCAAGCTGGAAAGGAGCCAACTACCCAACTGAGTTTATTTCAAAGCGGAGTTCCTAGGAGCAGGGATGTGCAAGGATGCATCTCTGTTAGGCTGACCGTTGAAGTGATCTTCTGGCCATCTCAGCGCTTCAGGCCCATTCCAAGGTCTCCTGGAAAAAAGCTGGACTGCTTATTCTCTCTCTTTTTCCTACACTCTGATATTGTCTTTCTGGCATAGATTCACTGGGAAAACAGAACCTGCTTTATTTTGGAGGGAGTTAACCTCCATGGACAGCAGCTGGCAAACAGATCTTGGCATCCAACCGAGTCGGCTGACTTTTGCCCCTTCACTAGGGTCCCAGTTGGCTCATTTAAACATCTAATAGCTCACCGGGGAGAAGAAGGAGAGCCATGAGGCTCGGCAGAATCACTGAGTTATTCAAAGTTCATGGGCTCCGCCAATTGTTTACTAATTATTTTGGATATAAATGGGAATGAGTTTACATGTTAGATGAGAAACATACTTCAGTTCATTCCCCAGGCTTTTTAAAGTCTGCAGACAAAGCTATGATATGAAGAAGTGATGACCCACCCATTCTACATTCTACCAATGGATAAATTGATTTTTTGGGGTAATCATCATTCCACTCTGTCCAATTTCAGCATAGATCTGCAATTAAAAAAACAAAACAAATCTGCATTAAAATTCACATTTATTTGTTTGGCAACTTTCTCTAATGTTCATCTTTGTAACACCATTTCCCTAATATGTGCATTTTGGCATCCAGTAACCAAGAACTGCATAACAAACTGTGGAAAGCACAATTCATAGGATCAATCATATAGATGGTTTTTGTCCCATAAACTAGAATTTACTTCTGTTTATTAAAATGTGTTCTCATTCACTGGTTGGCCAATGTCCTAATGAATGAAGCTATGAATTAAATAGTCCTTGGTTTTTATTTTATCTTCAGATGTTTTAATGGCCTTTCAGAATATTCCCTTTTGGGCTGGGGGTAACTGGATGGAAGCTACCTGATACTGCTTTCAGTGTAGGACTGAGTAGATATCTTGGACGGGGGACCATGGCTGGAAATCTTTAAAAAATGCCAAAGAAGCCAATGAGGGCTGTTCTTGTACTCTGGATACTGACTCGGGATTGTTGTGTGAACAGGAGATAATCAATCTTTGAAGAACACAATAGATTGTGTCTTGCAAAAAACATCTGTCAGATAGATCACCGCTGCCAGAAATATCAGATCCACTCAGACAAAATACTTTTCAGCTGATTTAGTTCCATCTGCAGCTAAAGTTAATAACGTAGAGAGAAATTAGCTTCATAGAATGCTTTTTGGTACCCTCAAAAACCCAAAACAATAGAAGTTGTAGTAGGCATTTTTGAAGCTCCAGGGTGCATGCAATGTTTTGATCTTAGTTTCTCAGCAGGGCAGTGTTTGATAGAGAAATCAGGTCCCCAAACCACACAGGAAACTCTACAGTGGATGAAAATAGCAATCCAGATGCTGCTGTTGGGCTTCTCTGGTTAGAAGGATCTGGGTTCTGCAGCTGAGAAGCCCCATCCCAAAATTCAGCAGACGGCATTTGTAGTGGGAGCCAGTAGGACAGCAAAAAAAACCATCTGTCAAACAGGCAGAGCATCTGGGGAAAGATGTTCCTTCCCTAGCTGGTGGTCTCTGTGTGTACCCCAACTCTGGGAGATGGAGTCTGTGTCTTTAGAGGATGCCAAACAGGGAACGCGCCTTTAAATAATCTGGTCCCAAGATATTTTTAGAGTAACAGAGAGATTTCAGGCCCCTCTGATCTAGTTTGTTCCTTTACTAGAATTCCAGGTCTTCTTCCCAGATGTGTAGATGCCCAAACTTTAGAATTAAAGGCTAGAAAGTTGACCTGAGTTTATACAACCCCTGGTAATTCCTAGATGATTTGTTGCTGTTGCTGTTGCTGTTGCTATTGTTGTTATTATTATTATATACACATCAACACAAAATCACAGCTGCCAGTTCTTTAGCTGGTGTTTACCCTTATTCTCATCAAGTTCTTCCCAAGAACCTGGGATGTTGTAATGTATCGGCATAGTAGATGTGCAGATCCAAGCAGGGTGGCCTTTTGTAATTGATGGAAATGTTGTCGATGCACAGATTTTCTAAGTGTCGTTCAAGGTTTTTATTATGATTGATTGCACAGTCAGCCAGATGTTTAGACTGGATTTGGCATTTTTATCCACCTATCGAGTTAAAGGTATTGTCACAAGATATAAGCTGTTCTTCTTCTTCTTCTTTCAGCTGTTGAGTTTAAATGGAAAGGGTACCCTTTGTTGTATTTATAGATATACTGCTGGATGTCAGAAAGAAGCTCCTTTTAATTTATTGCAAATAATGTAAAAAAAAACCAGCTGGGCAAACAGTAGTTCACAGATCTCAGGTACTGCACTGGAGGATTTGAACAAGGCACTGAATAATTTAATTAGTTTTCTTGCACATTGCAGGGGGTTGGACCAGATGATCATAGGGGTCCTTCCCAACTCCACACATTTATGATTATGGCCCTCTATTCATGCTGCCAATATTCAGTGGCAAAAAGTGAGATTTTCAGTGGTTCCAATTGCAGTGATTTTTTTTTTGGCCCTCATTTCCATCCTTACCCAAAACAGGCTAGAAAATCCC